GGACTTGCTGTTTATGAGGTTGGTAGACTTTAAGCTTAACCAATCAACAGTGGCTGCTTTTAGGGATTCAGCATTTTGTCTTCCATAGAAACTTCATTTTGAGTTGATGTAGAGAAATTTGGAGGTGCTATTGTCCATGGTCTTTAGCATGTGTAATTTCCTCCCCTTTCCTCCTGACCTGTGTGATATGTACACCAGTCTCTCAAGAAAGACATTGTTTACTGTGTCATCTGTCAGGACATAGGGACACTGGTTCTTTTGAAATTGGAATTTCAAAATCAATCAATCTATTTCTTTCAATCATAAAAGAACATTTTAAAATGGTAGGAAAATATAAAAAGACAGTGTAAAGGAAGATAAATATAGTATAAAATGAGAGCTGTGCATGCTAGCATCAATGACAGTCTCTACATATATAGTATTCATTTATATAATGACCAACTAGAGGCAGCCGTGCTGAGGGAAGGAGGCCTGTGGCCTGTGTAGGATCCCTCCATTGTTCTTCATAGTTATATCTAAGGCTAGCTTGAGCTAGCAGACTTTTCATAGATCTTCCACCTTCTGTATGAAGAAGTATGGAATGAGTATGGGCACATTCTGGATTAGCATGGGTGAAGGTGAATTTATACACACTTGACAAGACAGCTGTGAAGAAATTAATAAAACTGGATGGATCTCACTACTGGTCCTGTTTAGATAATTTAATGTCAACTGGTTCATGTAACTGTATACCGTATTTTAATTAATGGTTTCTTTGTAACTTATGATGTAGAAATTAATATAGCATTTATTCCCACTTTCTAGGATCGATTGGTGGTAACAAATAGCCACTGGGTGGTAGTTGTTCCATACTGGGCAGTGTGGCCATATGAGACTATGATTCTTCCTCGGCGTCATGTTACCCGCATGACAGAACTGTCTAATGAAGAGAAAGATGGTCTGGCAGACATTGTCAAGAAGCTGACGACAAAGTACGATAATCTCTTCAAGTGCTCCTTCCCGTACTCTATGGGGTGGCATGGTGAGTAGTGTACTAGGCATTTTCACCTTATGTTTGGCTGATATCTTATTTTGAAGAGGATATATGAATTTATGACACTTGTGTGTACTGTATGTGTATATATATATATATATATATATATATATATATATATATATATATATATATATATATATATATATATATATATATATATATATATATATATATATATATATATATATATATATATATCCGAATCCATAGTTTCAATGGGTTTTTGGGTAATTGGTTCCAGCTCACTAAAAAATGCCTAAATTCAACAAAAAAGGTAGAAATGTACACTTACTTTGATGTGTGTATGTAGAAGGCTCCTGGATGATGCTGATGTGAATTTGAAGTGGGAGGTGGAGGAGGAGAAGGGAGAAGAGAAGGAAGTGGAGGTGGAGGAGAAGCATTTTACTGCTTCTTGGATGGTGAGTCACCTTCCATGAAAATGTCAGGAACCTCTGGACTGACAGATTCTCCACCATGAACATCCTCTCTCCTTCTTGAAGTGGAAGGCTGAGGGCTAGCATCTTGTTCCCTCTGCCTTTTACTGAAGAAAGTGTCAATTGTGGTCTGTGGGGCATCTGTCCTCCTCACCATTAACTTATGTTTAAAGAAGGAGACCACTGAGTCCTCAACATGACACAAAGCTAGTTCAGTTTTTTCCACTTCTGGGTGCTTTGAAGCCAGTTCCCTGAACTTCTCCCAATGGTAAATCACATCTTTCAACTGTGTAGCTGACATATGGTCATCACTTTCAATTTCCTCCTCACCACTGTCAGCCTCTACCCGTAACATCTCATCCAGTTCCTTCAAGTCATTAGGAGTAAGTTCCTCCTCATGAGACATCACAAGCTCTTCCACATCCTTCTCCACCACTTCAAGACCCAATGACTGACCAATGGACACAATCTCCTGGTCCAACTCTGTGTCATCCTCAAATCCCTCAAAATCATGGACTACTGATGGCCACAGTGCTTTCCATGAAGAATTGAGGGTTCTATTGGAGACTTCTTGCCATGATGACACAATCAATTTTACAGCCTCCAGGACGTTGAATTGTGTCTTCCAGAACTGTTTCAGTGTTAGTTCAGGATCAATGGAAGTTGCCTGATGACACCTCATAAACATTTTCTTCATGTACAACTTCTTGAAGTTGCTGATCACATTCTGGTCCATTGGCTGTATGAGTGATGTAGTGTTTGGAGGCAAAAACAACACTTTCACAAAGTCAAATTGATACTCCAAATTTCTGGCAAGGTCAGGGTCATGACCAGGAGCATTATCCATGAGGAGAAGAGCCTTTAAAGGAAGTTTATTGGTGGTTAGGTAGCTCTTGACAGAGGGGCAAAACACATCAACAGCCCATTCATTAAAGAACTGTCTTGTCACCCATGCCTTACAGTTGGACTTCAATAAACTCCAAGCATTGTTCTTACCACTTTCTGTTGCTTGAACACCCTGGGGTTTTCAGAGTGGTAGACAAGCATAGGCTTCAGTCGGAAATCCCCTGAAGCATTGGCACCAAGCAATAGAGTGAGACGGTCTTTCATGGGTTTATGCCCAGGTAAAGAGGCTTCATCCTTGGTGATGAATGTTCTTTTGGGCATCTTTTTCCAGAACAGCCCAGTTTCGTCAACATTGAAAACTTGCTGTGGAAGATAATTTTCTTCTTCCATCAGTTTTTTAAATTCAATTAAAAACTTTGCTGCCCCTTCTTTATCAGCACTAACAGCTTCACCATGCCTAACAACACTTAAAATGTCACTTCTTTTCTTAAATTTTTCGAACCAGCCTTTGCTAGCCCGAAAATCTTCAAATTCTGTTCCTGAAGAACCAGGTTGATCTGTCTTTAAATGTTCATAAATCTCCCTGGCTCTTTCACAAATGAAATCACCAGAAACTGAATCACCTTTCATCTGTTTTTCCCTAATCCAGATGATAAGTAACCTCTCAGTTTCTACGATTAGGGATCTACTTTTAAACACTCTTGTAGATTTGTCTCTCACGTTCACTTCCTTAAATTTGTCTTTTTGTGCAAGAATTGTCGACACAGTTGATGCCGACATGCCATATTCTTTGCATAGCGCATTTGATTTAATACCTTGTTCGTGTTTTTTTATTATTTCCTGCTTCATTTGGATTGAAATCACTTTTCTTGATCTCTTAGGCCCCATGCTGGATTCAAACAATGGCAACACGTATTTTTCAAAGTTAAACTAGCTGTAAATAAAGAATATTTTCTTTAAAATAACACTGCACTGCACTATATATTGTCAATATGTAAAATAATTTTCAAAATGACCAATAATTTGCTTGGAAACACAGAAAAAAAGCGTTTAGTTGAAGAGTCTCAAGCAAGATGTTACCTCCAGTGAAAACAGAGAGAGACTAACGCCTGTTTGCTGTGTTAAGAGGCTGGATGCCGCGCATTAAACTAGTCACTTTACCTTCAATTATGTTCAATAATTGTTAAAATGACTAAAAAAGTTAATATTAAACTTTTAAAATAATTGAATAGTATAAACTTCTTGATATTTACAAAAATAGTAAGGAATTTAAGCCCTAGAACCGATTAATGTATTGGCGGACTGATACTAAAGCTGGTTGCCCGGTCAGTGCAAGCGAAAACATGTTGAGGTCGGTTCGTAAGAAGTTCGTTAAGCGAAATTTTTTTCGTTAAACGAATTGAAGATCCTTATGGAAGGCAGTTCGTTAATCGAAATTACGTTAACAGAGGTGTTCGTTAAACGAGGGGTCACTGTATATATATATATATATATATATATATATATATATATATATATATATATATATATATATATATATATATATATATATATATATATATATATATATATATATATATATATATATATATATATATATATATATATATATATATATATATATATATATATATATATACATACATACATACATACATACATACATGATATAAGTCTTCATTCTGGCGGTCAAATTGAACCGTGGGTCCCGTAAGCGAGAAGCAGCGTAAGCGAGCCAGTCGGCCCTTAACATACGCGGGGGTTAGGTAACAGAGATACCCGAATTTAAAAAATGTGCTTGCTGCCCCCCAAAAAACCCCTATTTACCATATATACCTGTGTGTAGTTCGAGTTTTTAAGACCAAATTATTTGGCAAAAAATTGGGGGTCGACCTCTAAACGGGTAATAGTTTTGTTAGGTTGAAAAATATTTACCAGTAACTACCAGTAAACAATGGAAACGATGCACCAACGCACCACCAGCTGTGAGTGTCGGTACAGTTGCCAGGGCAGATCTCTTGCGTCATCATAGCAAGCCCAAAGTAGCCAAATGCATGGTATGGTAGCACAGGACGATGTAAAACATAAAGTATTCATTTTTTAAAGTTTATTTATAGATACTGTACATAAATCTTTGTTCATTACATTTGAAACATCAATCTTTGTTAATTAAATTTGAAACAAAAGAAAACTACGATACCGTATTTCTAAATACCGGGTATTTTCATTAAAATATTACATCACAAGTGTATTTTACCTTAACTGTGACTCAATGAATATATTCTCAGAAATAAATATGGAAATGTAATATTTTTGCTGAAATGACGTACGTATTACAGTGGAAAGTGGGATAAAATCATGACGAAAACAATGACTTTCGCTTTCTTTCGTTCAAAGATGTTACCGTAATCGCTTTTCGAATGGTTTTCAGTTAAAAAACTGTTGTATTACAATAATTTTCCCTCCAAATTGACTTGAATAAATACTTGAATGGAAATATACAATATTTTTGTTGAAACTACCCGCGTTTCAGTGTAAAGTGTCGTAATAATAAATGGTAAACAATTTGCCTTCGGCACTCGGTGTTTCAGGCACAGCGAGCCTCAGTTTATAGGACGTAGAGTGTTTTTACTGACGGTTTTGTTGTTCCATTACCCTCAAAAACTTGGGTCGACCTATAAACAAGGAATATCATAAATTAACGATTTTTTGGTCAAAAAATCATGGTCGACATACAATGCTGATGTCAACACAAGCGTGGTTACAGCGAGACTGACTGAGTGAGGGAGCGCGGGGTGGCATGACGCGCGATGCGTGTGTGTGTGTGTGTGTGTGTGTGGGGTGGCGGGGGGCGGTGTGCAGTGTGTGGTGCCGCGCGCGATTTGAATGTACTTCAATGTACAGAATATTCCTCCGGCAGGGCAATCCGCGTATTTGCAAATCCGTGTATGCTAAACCAGCGTATGTTAAGGGCCGACTGTAACAGAACATATGGGATTAATTGAAATAGAGACTGGGCCGACCCCCAAACTACACTTTTTCTGACACAATAGTACGTTGTAGTAAAAATAACACCTTAATTTTATGATGGTATGCACACACAATTAATATTTAAGAGAAATATTAATAATATTAGGTTTTTTAACTCTTACTTAGTAGAAGAGATGGCTGGGTACACGGGGATTGGGGTTGGTTCTGAGGCAGAGGGCAGACTTCAGAACTTGACACTGTACCTCAAATAAATAGCAGCAACTTTTAACCAAACTTAGTATTGGTAGAGATGCAAAATGCAAATGGGTGGTGAGTGAGCTGTTGCTTGCAGATAACATGGGTTTGAGAAGATATGTTGCAAAAACAGTACAGTATTAGTGAACCAACTGGGACACCCGGTGTTAGCCAGGCTTGGATTCGATGAAGTGAAATTAACTTAAGTATAACAAAATTTAACAGGACCGAACCCCCAGCCCAGATTACACCTTCGGTTACATAACCATACCACTTCTACTAGAACACATTTAAGGACATCTGGACATGATAAATTACAAATGAAAAGTATTGTACCTCGGTAATGGGAACGTATACTGTACAGTACTGTATTCATCTTTTAAAAGTACATCTACTGTACAGAGATTTACACATTTACCTTCTTATATTTATCAAACAAATAATAATCTCTTTATTATGAAAAAACAATTAGGGTTAAATTAATATCAGTAAATGATTCAATGTCTAATTACTACTGTAAAGGTTTCAGACACAGTAAGTATGGATCACTGAACTTCATTCTTGTAAACAAACTCACAGGTAGATGACATGCAGATGGATGATAGTAATGGTGGTCCTGAGGGTAATTTTGACTTAGGTGAGGTAGTAATGGTGGATGAGACTGGTTATAGGCAGTACCGGCACGTACAAGGAATTATGGTAATACGGTACTTACAGGTATTTTTGAGGTGTTACTAAAGTAAGCCTCTGATATTAGCTGCACCCCCACTTTGGCCATTTTTTTTTTTAAGGAAAAAAGTGTCGCTGATATTCATCAAAATGCATTGTATGTATAGATATGGATATATGAATACTGTACGCCTAAAAGTATGTTCACTTACGGGAATAAAGAGAAACAGTCAATAAATGAAGAAGCACACAAGAACAATGATATGTATCGGTTCACTTAGCCAGATTCGCAGTCTTACACAACTTCACAGTTTGAATCCAACCTTGAAGAAGATTTAGCTGTTCAAAAGCTAATACTATAGTTTGCTTCAGTTATTTCATGTTATTAGTGCTACAGAAACTAATGTTAATGAAAAGGATCTTTTTTACTTGTTTCAGTGTATCTTGAACATGAAAAAAAAATTGAAGTGCATCTAATAAATAATATAAGTCTGATTTGAATTAAATGATATAATAAAAAAAAACTTGGTTTACACAAAACACTGAGGCTAAAGCTGTGTACATCATTCAGATTCTTTTTTTACTCAGATAATGCATTGCCTTATGCTTTGGCCCTGGCAGGTTTACCCGTCTTAGAGTGAGAAAGATTTTAAATGGTACTTAATTCTCAGGGGCACCAACTGGTCCACGGCTGGAGAATGAGGAGAAGCACTGGGTGTTTCATGGCTGTTATTACCCACCTCTGTTACGCTCAGCCACTGTTAAGAAGTTTATGGTGGGCTATGAGATGCTGGCTCAGGCTCAACGTGACTTGACAGCAGAACAGGCTGCACAGAAATTGCGAGACCTCTCTGAAATTCATTATAAAATCACATAATAAAAAATTTTCATGTTGTGCTGTACAGTATATTCTTTCTTGTTTCCTTATTTCAAGATACAAAATATAAGAAAACTTTGAAGAATTACATTGCACAAATTAGAAATATCGAATGAGGTTTAAGTGCTAGTTATATGAATAATTAAACTGTTAAGCCTGATGGTTACCTTTTATCATAATAGTGTTAAGAGGTTTGAAGTAATGAACAAATGCAATGATTGGCTGCTGAAAATATATCTTCTGATAATATAAAATTGGGATTGATCACTACACCCATCAAAAGTTTCAGGAATACAGTACTGTACAACTATGTAGTTTAATCCCTGATATTTTATAATTGGTACAGTATCATTACAATTTAAGATTTGTTCCTATTGCTATGTGGAATGAAAATCTCCAATCAAATTTCTGTTAAGTACAATACAGGTACTATGAATTCACTTTTGAGTTAATTATCATGATCAGAAACAATGTACAGTAAATCTTTGATAACTCGGCACCAATGGGGCTCTGGCCTTGCCGAATTATCCCAAATCCTGAATTATCAAGGCACTTCCCCATCTACAATAAAACAACAATAAAATATTATCGACCCATATACGTGTACCACAACAGAGGCATGGTAGGTGACGCAGGAAAATCGTAGGTGGTGGCAGGGGGAACGTTGCATAAACAGTAAACAGTTTGGTACTGGGGATTTTGGGGGAAGTGCTGTATGTCTCCCCAAACTGCATTAATAAAGACCAAATACTGAAAGGACCTGGGTGTTTATGGTGACAATGAACTGAAGTTCTCGGACCATGAGAAGGTGAATCGAGCAACTAAACTAGTAGGTCTTATAAAGAGGGTGTTCAGATCTCTAGACACTGTCCCTTGTAACGCTCTTCAAGAGTGTGGTACTTCTCCGCCTGGAGTATTGTCACCCTGTCTGGTCCCCTAGATATGCTAGGGACTGTCAGTGGTCCAAAGGAGGACCACCAGTCTAGTGCCTGAACTTCGGCACCTCCGTTATCCAAAGAGATGAGAGCGCCTGCAACTGCCTAGCTTATACTACAGACAAACTTTTTCGGAGTGAGAATAGTGAACTCTTTCAACATCAGACTTGACCAACACTGGAGCATGTTCAGAATACATTCAGGAGCCAGTGCCCTCCCAATACTTGCAATACTGGGTAACAGAGACGTGACTGACCGCCCAAGTGGCTAACTCACTTATATATTGCTATCGAAACAGTTTATTGAGCTAGAAAAAAACAGATACAGAATGGATATTAAATACAATTTTAACATTACTGAGCCAATTGAGAGCCTGAGTTCTCTTGGTGGCACCTGATATATGCTGTACATTTATCTCGAGGAGGTATTATGAAGCATTTGGTATCCTCTGGGATAGTACACGTAACATGGTGTTAGTAAGAACATATGAAAATGTCGCCAGGATTATCAGTTGTTTTTGTTTTTTACTTTTATATTTCAAGTACTGTGTATACATATTTTTCAGTGGAGTTGATATACATTAATCTATTTCACTGCGGAAGAGAATAAAAGTAAAAACCATTGAATCGTATTACTGTTTGACTTTATGGTTTGTGATATTGAACCATTGTGAATTTGATTTATTTTTATTTTTACGGGAATTAGCCCACCCGGGCACAGGTCACTAACCCACATCGGGGCCTGGGGGGTAATAATAATAATAATAATAATAATTATAATAATAATAATTCATAGTAAATAAAATTATAATATAAAATACAAAATAAAAAAAAAAATATAATAATACAGTAATAATAACAAAGAACCATAAATAAATACAAAAATGAAAAAAAAATCAAAAGTGAGAAACATTATATGTATGTTGTGTTGTCAATAGTAAGAGAAACAATTGAGACCAAGCAATTGTGTGTAAATGAGACAGAGTCAGATCAGCAACCTGGGACTTGGTCACAATTTTCGTGTTGCCATATGGCAGCAGGGTCTACCATTAGACAACACATTATGCTGTTTCAATAATTTCATCTAAACTTCTTATTGTCTACGCTAAAAGGCAGGTTAACATTGGCTAGCGTTTTCTAATTCTTACATTACAGCTTAAGAGAAAACGTAAAACTTTTCTGGGCCTGTAGGAGTACCCACAGACAATAAAAAAAATAACAATATTATGAATGGGATACTTATACAAGATTAACTTTGCATATTCAGAAAGGGCAAAATTCGAATGATAAATATAGACGCCCTTGAACAGAGAGAAGTAATAAAACAAAAATTTAATTTATAAGGTCAATATGAAAGTGTCAAGAAATTATATGGGACTAACCACTTGTTCTGTGGATTTCGATATAATTTTTGTGGTTTTATTTATAATTAGTTAACGGAGACCAATATACTTATATTTTGTATTTGTCCAGCTTACGATAATAGTGTGGTCCCTGGAGGAAAGAGTAGCATGTAATATATATAAAAGTAGAGGGTAAGGCTTAAAATAGCTGAACGATAAAGAAATACAAACTCCTTAGCCTTTAATATAGATGCATTTATCTCCTTCCCGAACCTTTAAAATTGAGTGGCCTACCTGAGCCCTTTAAAGTGTAACCTGTAGCTTCGTAAGGTTACCACCCCTTCTCTCTCTCTCTCTCTATCCACACCTGCATATTTATAGTAAAGATATATATTATTATTATTATTACACTTTTCTAATAAAATTTGGCGTATTTTTGGTAATTTTTAGTAATATCATGAGTGAGGCGTCAGACATGTAGGAAGCCTCACAGCTGAGCTGGTGGTGGTGGTGAGGGGTGGCCCAGGCAGCCCCAGGTGTGCATCGCCACACACACACACACACACACACACACCTGTTACCATAACATATGCAAATACACACCTCTCTCTCTCTCTCTCTCATCCACTACTTGCCTTCTTCATCCACCTTCATCCCTCATACATCTGTCCTCACCCGGCACTTCACACCTTGTTCTCACCCGGCACCCCTCACCTTCCTGCCCTCACCTGGCACCTCACACCTTCCCTCCCTCCTTTATCTCTCTCCAACTGACTCAATATTCCTTCTATGAGTCTCCAACCCCTACACTTCTCCCCCACCTCCTCCCCTCTTTCTTCTCCCTCATCTCCTACCCTCCTTTTCCCTCCTCCCTTCCTTCTCTTCCACCCTCCTCCACCCCTCCTACTCCCTTTTCCTCGTTATCCTAATTCCCTCGTTCTCTCTCCTCTATTCTCTCCTCCTCCCTCCTACTCTTCCCCTTCCTCCCCTACCTCTTCCGCTCCCCAACAGACAGAAACACAGCCTCCGTCAATTTGCAATACTTGAGTGTCCCATATGCTATAGAGGTGTTCACATGTATAGAGGTTTGACATGTATATTAACAATACAGGTATACAGTTCAACATATGAATAGACCCTGTAGGTATACCCTTTGCCATATACAGTCCCTGGACAGTGTAGGTAAACAACGATAGTTAACAGTAAGATATTTCGACCAGTGAGAGCCGACTTTAATGGATGTGAAGTTGTAAGAAGAGATCGATTATTTTGACACTAATGTCCTGTGTATTAGTCTTGCGTGGGGTAGCTTCTTCGACTGTGAGTTTCTCGGTGGCAAATGTTGACTCAAAATGACATTACGTCTTGCTTTTTTACTTTGTTTTTTTTAGCATTTTATCTTTATTTTTTTGTTATATCCTTGTGAATGATTCTTATGACACTTGTTCCCTTCCTTCGTCAGGTTGAAGAAGAAGCAACCAATAGCAAGGGTGACGTGAAGTAGAATCAGGATATACGTAAGTAACCTAACATGTGTTTATCCAGGTGTTATAGTCCATATAAATGAGCTAAATGTGCAGGTGTCGTGTTGATTTAGTAGAGATGTATTCAGGTCCACGCTGCAGACCAGCTTTTTAGAGTACGGCCATGGCGGATCATTTTCGGAAAAAGAAAAGATAAGATTCGTTTTCACTCCCCTCTTTCTTCCCCCCCCCTCCCTCTCCCCTCCCCTCCCCTCCCCAGAAAATAGCAGTATGGATAAGGTGAGTACCTCTCCTTCCCCCCCCCCACATCCCCCTTCCTCTCAAGAAATGGCGAATTATTTGGCAATCAATCTTGGACATAACGAAAAAATCGACTGTAGTGGTGATGCTTATCTCCCCCTCCCTCCCTTTTTTATTTCCCCAAAGAGCAGGTGTTCCCTTTACTTTTGAAGAGAGAATCCCCCCTCCCCCCTTCCCCCGCCACTGTGTGTTTTCAACCCAAGTAATTTTTTCACGTATACAGCGAGGTGTTGTCCCCACAAAATACTCTTCCTCACTCTTGGTAGACCCAGGGGCGTCATCATAACACAGGTTCTACACCCCGGCTATTAGTTAAGTTGCCCGTGTGTATGTCTGTCATCAAGTAGGCATCTCATAACTGTACAGTATTAGCATACCTAACGGTAGATGTTCCAGGACTCTGTGTATCATCTGGTTTTTTTTTCTCCTTCGTGTAGGTGTATGAGCGCCAGATCACCCTTGGATTTCCTTCTTAACTTTATCGCTTCCTCTGAAATGTTGTTTTGTTTTCCTTGTAAAAAGAATTCCGTGGGAGAAAATATTCCCCTCACCACGACTTACGTACCTAATACCTTCACTCTACAGAAACTCGTTGAAATGATTGGTAAAAATTCACAAGTGCCTGAGGATACTGGTGGTGTGGGCGGTAATGAACATATGTGACGCTATGACCCTTTAACATGAGCTGGGTGGCGCGCAGCTTGAAATTGGTCCATTGACCTCCTACTCCTTTTTCATCTTGATTTATCATATCGAAGCTCAAGCTTATGGTTGTTATAGTGAGGTAAATCTATTTAAAAGGCGGTGGAATGTTTCGTATCACTGTATCTACGGAACAGCCACCCCTCCCCATGACACCTGCACAGCTGGTAGTGCCGCTTGAGTGGCTGTCATGTGCGCGGAGTCTCCGAACTGTGTAGTTGTGCTCACACCCACCAGAGGCGCCACTAAGTCGTAGCGGCTGGC